GCAGAGAATACAAGAAAGATGTTTACCTTTGTTTTAGTGACTACAAAAGTGCATCCATGGGAATCGTAACAAATTGTGCATAACATAGCAAGAAACAGGAATTCCAGAACACTTAATTGTTCTCATGAGGAACCTGAACATAGACCAAGAGGCAGGCATTCGAAAGAACCAGGAAATACTGTATGGTTTAAAATTGGAAAAGGTGTGTAGCAAGGTTGTATCCTTTCACCATACTTAATCAATCTGTGTGCTGACCGGTAATCTGAGAAGCTGGGCTATACGAAGAACACAGCATCAGGATTGAAGAAAGATTCATTAATGACTTGAGATATTCATATGATACAACTTTGCTTGCCAGCAGTGAAGACAGCATTAAGCATTTGCTGAGACTACAGTAAGGATTACATCTGAACATGAAGAAAACACATATCCTCAGAACTGTGTGCATATATAACATCATAATAAATGATGAAAAAATGAAGTTGTCAAGGATTTCATTCTACTAGGATCAATGGTCAGAAGTGAAACATTAGGCAAATCTGCAAAAGAACACTCCAGATTGTTTAAAAGGAAAGGTATCACTATGAGGAGTAAGGTGTGCCTGACCCAAGTCGTCATTCTTTCAGTCTCCTCAGATGCATGCCAAAGCTGGACAATGAAAAAGGAAGAGCAAAGAAGAAATGACATATTTGAATCATGTTGTTGGCAAAGAACATTGAATATTCCATGGACTTCTAGAAGAACCAACCCACATGTCTTAGAGAAAGTACAGCCAGAATACTTCTTAGATGGAGAAGGATAGCATACTTGGTGAAGTAGCAGGTCAGTCAAACAGAGAGAGGCCCTCAATGAGATGGATTGACATTGGTTGCAACAGTGGGCTCAAACACAGCAATGATTGTGAGGATGACATAGTACTGAGCAATGCTTTATTCTGTTATATATAAGGTTGCTATAAATTAGAGCTGACTGAATGACACCTAACAAGTACTGACTGTTTTGTTCTGTTTTTTAATCGATTGATTAGTTAGTTAGCCATTATTTTCTGGAGACAGCTCAGGCATCTTTCTGTTACATCTTGTTCCTGTTGGAGTTATCCTTAAATAAATCCTGGAACAACTGGGAAACAAGCAGAACATTGGTGCTCTCAGTTGAATATATATATACCCACAGATATGGGCCTCTGTTTCTAGTCTTTAGTTTCATTTCCACCAAGTTGCTTCCACTTAATAGGTTCTGCCAGACACCTTTGTGAGAAGTTCCAAATTCCTTAGTCTGGTCTATTATGATCACTATTCCACTAAAGCAAATCTTCTGTGGCCAGACTGACCAACCCACTGTCTCCTGATACACAATAATTATTAACTGTTGAGTTATATGTATTTTGTTTTTTATCGTGCATCTCAGTTGACACACTGTGGCCATTACGATTGTTAAATTTTTCATTTACTCATTCAAAATCTCTTTAAAGAAAGCAAGAATTTAAATAGGGGATTAGGACTTATTTTAATTCTTACTAATATGTCAGTTGTTTTAGCTTTTTATTACAATTATATTTGTCAGTGTATAACACATTTTAAATTTTAAACAAGTTTTTAGTCGTTCAGTTTCTTTACTGAACAAATACTTACTTTGTACCTGCCATGGGCTAAGCACTGTTTTCGACATTGGGGCTACAGGAGTGAACAAAATGGATAAAAATCCTTGTCCTCTTGGAGCTTAATTTCTATTTCGGGGTTGGGGAAAAACAAGAAGTGAATAAATAAGAGAATTATATAAATATTCCCCCCTCCTGAAAAAAAAAAAAAAAACCCAAACTCACTGCGTCGAGTCGATTCAACTCATAGCAACCCCTCCTTGGAGTTCCGAGGTGGTATTACTACGAAAGTAGATTGCCCAATCTTCCTTCTGAGGAGTGGCTGGTGGATTTGAACCACCAGCCTTCTGGTTAGCAGTCAAATGCCTTAGGCACTATGCCACCAGAGCACCCCTCATAAAGATTACAGCCAAAAAAGTCCATGGACAGTTCTGTCACATGTCATTGTTATGAGTCCAGATTGAATCAGTGACACCTAACAACAACAACAGTGACATATGGCTATTGATAATTTGAAATGTGACTAGTGTTCTTAGTAACTGAATTTTAATTACTTAATTTAATTTTAATGTACATAGCTAAGTATGGGTTAAAGCCAGTGGACCCAATTCTGGCTCATAATGACCCCATCTGTTTCAGAGTAGAACTGTGCTCTTTAAGACTCATTTTTTGGAGGTAGATCGCTAAGTCTTTCTTTTGAGGCTTCTCTGTGTAGTCTAGGACATGTTAGCTGAGCATGTTAGCTACTATATTGCATATCACAACATAGGGATCACAGAACCTTCTTGGATACTATGTTCCATCTCTCAATTCATGTAGATGTCTACACAGGGGAAAAAAAAAAGATTTATGTTCAAATAATGGAAGAAATGTACTGAATTCTTGAGCAAGGTAGAGATTATAAAGCAATGCCTTTCTTCCATGAAAGAGAGGAAAAATGCATATGTTCAGGAGAGGAAATACATTTGCACAATTGCTCTGAATTGCCAGTGAACTAGTCTTTTACTCATTTATCCTGTAGTAGTACAGTGGTTCTCAAACTTTAGAAAGCATCAAATCTCTGCAGTTTGTTTAATTCAGGAATGGGACTAAGTATTTACATTTGTAGTAAGTCCCAGTCTATGCTGATGGTGCTGGTATGTGGATCACACTTAGAACCATTGCTTGAGGAGGATACCTTAATGAGAGAAGGTGACCATCTCAGGTTGTGCTTGTTGTTTTTTTGCCTTTTATAGCTTCTGGTTCACTGTTACTGTGGGAATAGTCTCTTCACTAGATCACTGTGCTTTTGAAAAAAGAAAATTCACTTGCCTTCACCTCTCCCGCCCAGAAAGAAAAAAAACAAGCTTGAGTTAAATCTTTATTGGCATCATAGTTTTTCACTTAAAGAAGGAAAAACATGAAGTAGGGAGAGAAAATTACTTTCAAGAAATGTTAATAATTTTTAATTCTCAAAATATATTTATGTATGGGCAATAAGTAGATATTTATAATGTCGCCGGGGCAAAGCCCATTCAGACCTTAAGTGAAAATTCAAAGGATTTATTCGGCAATAGAATGGGCAACTACCAGCTCACATAAGTAAAAACATGATAATTTTGGAGAGTGGGTCCCATTCGTGGAGGGATATATATGACAAGAGATTACAATAGAAATCATTGATTGATTAGTCTTTGATTAAGGTCACAAACAGTAGGGTTGAAGTAGGGAGGTGCTTCCATTGGATACAAATGCTTATGTAGGCTTCGGTGTATATAAAGATTTACAGTTACAGTCATTTATCCTTCAGGTGGGATTATAAAACATCACTGATGTTTAAACAGAGTTAACTGGAAGTCTCAGTTATATGTGCTAACTATTTTGGTACCAGGACCTCATTTCCCAGAAATAGCTTGCTAAAATAAAAACCCTTTAAGTTGTTGGGAAACTTTAGATAAAGCTGGCTCCAAGACTCTTTCAAAACAATACTCTTTGTTATAAAGAAATATTTCTTAGGCCCACTTTAAACTAGACTACTGTGCCAGCATTCTCTTCCTTAGAGGGTTCTTCACATCCTGGCTTGACTACCAAGAAAAAATACTTCCTTAATTACTGTGTGTTTGTGAAAGGTCAGCTAGGTAAACATAGAGTCCTGGTCAGGTCAGGCATCTAAAAAGACTTGTTTACTATTCAGCAAAAACTGAGTTTAGTCATTTAGTCGTGGTCAAAAAGGCTTCATAAACTTTTCCTTTATTGTAATAATAGTAAAATGAAGCACTTACTAAATTATGTAAGAATATTTGAATATGCATCCATTAGCTGGTTCACAATTATATCTTGGTAAGTATACAACTCATTGGTGATGCTGAGAAAATGCAGAGTGAAATAACTGAGATAGGTTAATCTGAGAGTGTTTCCTTTGATAATGAAGTGAATCTTGAGCAGTTTTGAAGTGAGTGAGCGTTATGGATATGCATAGAATAGAGAGGTCACTCCAGATAAAGAGGTAATTGTATTAAATTGCTGAGAGATGGAACAGGTAAGCAATATGTGGGGTACTATGTAGCTCTGGTGGCATAGTGCCTAAGGCTAACCAAAAAGGTGGTGGTTCAAACCCACCACCACTCCTTGGAAGGAAGATTGGGCAATCTACTTCTGTAGATGTAACCACCTCGGAAACCCAGGGAAGGGTCGCTGTGAGTCGATAACAACTCAATGACAGTGAGTTTGGTTTTTTGGTTTATGTGACATATTAGGAGCTCTGGTGGCGTAGTGCCTAAGGCATTTGACTGCTAACCAAAGGCTAGGGGTTCAAACCCACCAGCCACTCCTGTGAATGAAGAATGGGCAATCTACTTCTGTAGTGATACCTCCTTGGAAACCCAAGGAGGGGTCACTATGAGTCAGAATCAACTCGACGGCAGTGAGTTTGATTTGTTTTTTTGGTATGTGCCATATTAGGTTAATTTTAGAAGAAAGCTTGTCCTGGGAAAATAATAAAAATAAATTAGTAAGATTGGGAGGGAGTATTGTGAGAGGACTTTGGTAAAAGGATTAATTGGTTTTAATTAGTACAGTTTATTTGTCAACTTGGAGGAGTGAGCATGGTGGTGCAGTGGTCAAAGCACTCAACTGCTGTTAGATAGGCAAGTGGTTCGAACCAACCAGCTGTTTTATGGGAGAAAGATGTGGCAATCTGCTTCCATAAGGTATTACAGCCTTCAAATTCGATTGTTCTAGAGGTTTCCTGTAAGTTGGAATTAACTCTACAGCAGTGTGTTTTGTTCTGTTTGTTTGTTTGGATTTGACAGCATAATTGTGACTGAAAAAGGAAAATAATGTATTTTTATTAATGGGGAGGGTTTTTTTTTTATTAGAATTTTAACATCTTTTGTAACTTTTTTTTTTCCTCTTTGATTCTAAGCTTATTGCAGAAGAATTTTGTCTAAAAACATTTCGAAAGCTTGGAGCACAGCCTATACCAGGTAAGTGAAATTTAATTTGAGGTCTTTAACCTGTTTTCAGTAATCACAGCTAATTATACTGGAGATATATGTAGATATAATACTTTGGGATAATTATAGGATGAATTGGGAGCCTTGGCAGCACCGTGGATAAAGCTGCGCTGCTAACTGAAATATTGGCGGTTCAAAACAACCAGCAGCTCTGGAGGAGAAAGATATGGTAGTCTGTTTCCGTAAAGATACACAGCCTTTGAAACCCTATCGGGCAGTTAGTTCTGTTCTGTCTTAGAGAGTCACTGTAGGGCTTGTGAGTCAGAATCAACTGGGTGGCATTGCTTTTGGTTTAATTCTTGGTTGGATGAATTTAATCCAGGTGAAATGTGCCTTTAAAGTGTTTAATATATGGCAGTGAACAACATTCTTTGAATTAATAATTTAGTTTAATTTTCATTTCTTGTCTGTCTTACATAAATATGATTTGTCTTCTGTCTTTATCAGATGTTTAGCTGAGATTCTGCATACGTTAAAACCAAACCAAATCCACTGCACTATACTTCTTTAGCTATATTAATACAGTTAGCCATGTCATAGTATTGTTACTTTGTATGTCTATGCTTTGATTTGATTTTACAGTTGAACTTTCAAAGGGAAATCTTTTTTCCCTCATATTTCATAGTTCCTGGTCAGAGTGGGTTAGAATATGTGTTTGGAAGACCTTACCTACCATACTGTCTTATATTGCCAACAGAAATTACTTATGAATCTCTAGAATGCCAGCCAAATATCTACTATTTTTGTTAAGTTTATTAAATTATATGAGTAATACATGTTCATTTTTAAAACTAAAAGGGAGAAGATAAAAATTATCTCCAATGTCAATACTGACCGTTATATTTGGTGTATTTTGTTTTGTGATGATGTGAAAAGTGGAATTGAGGATAATTTTTATTGTTTCTTTTAACTAAATTATTCAAATAGATCATTACTGTTTTGTTTCTTTTAACTCTATAATAGTATATACTGAACATTTTCTAATATTATTAAATATTATTTAAAGGATGAGTTTAACAGTAGCATTTTATAGTGGGTTGCTAATTAAAATTTTCTTCTCCTTTCACCTCCTAAATGGAAGAATATTTGTTGGAAGAGATTGATTAAATCAACTTAGCACATAAAAACATTCTAAGATAGAAAGGAGGCTAGAAGAAGAAGGCTGCAACTCAGGCTGTGGGAGAGTTTAAACAGAGAGGTACCTTAGTGGATGTGAAAAATAGGGGAGGAAAGAGAATTTTGGAAAAGGTGGATGTAAACTATTATTTTTGACCTCCTTTAATGTCCTTTGAGAGATGTGATTGAATAGTAGAATGTCCTTTTAGTTGTTGTTCTTAAGCTGGCATTGATTTGGTCCCTGACTCATGGCGACCCCAGCTATTACAGTGTAGAACTGTTCCATAAGGTTTTTTGGCTGTAACATTTATGGAAGCAGATTGCCAGGTCTTTCTGCTGAGTGGGACTGAGTCGCCAACATTTTGGTTAGCACCAGATTGCTTATGCCACTGGCCTCCTTTTAATTTCTTTAGTTTAATTGTTGTTTGTAGACTTACCATTGCTTTAAAACTGAACCACATCTAGGCTTCAGTAGGATTAAATAAGTAATGTTATGCAAGATTTGTCTTTGTATATAATTTTTTGTGTTTCTTTGATTATTTTTTAAAAAATCAGTTGTTGATGTAGATTGCCCTTCAAAAAGTTTGATTAATTTGTATTCCCACCAGTGGTTTATAAAGGTGCTTATTTCATGGGACCCTTACCTTTAATGATTTTTTTAAAGTGTTCTTCAACAGGTCTGTATATATAGACTATATTAAGAGTATAAAGAAAGAAAATATTCAAGTTGCTCTTAGTAATAGAATTAATATTTAACATAATGATGGCATTGAAATTTATATTCCAATTTTTAAAGTATTTCTAAAACAATGAGTTTTATTTTTAATTTATTAACAGCTTTATTGAGATAAAATCACATACCATATAATTGATCCATTTGAAATGTACAGTTCATTGGTTTTAATGTTTTCTCAGATATGCATAATCATCACCACAGTCTGTTTTAGGAATATTCTTTTTATTATATATATAGGACATCTCAACATTTAAGAACAGTATGGCTTTTTCCTTCTTTCAAAAAGTGACATTAATGTAAAATAGTTATGACAAAGGCATTTACATGTGCTAAGGAATGAATAGTTTTTTTCTGAAAAGTGTTAAATTAAATGCTGTAGAGATTATGAAAACAAAGTGCTATCTTGAAGAATTTTCAAAGTAAAGATTTAATGTATAGAACTACTGGAAAAAAAAGTTGTTTATATCTTTTCATATAGCCAAAAGACCAGCTTCTGGACAAAGCTTGGCTTCTGTTGCACCTGCTCAGAAAATTACAAAGCCCGCTGCTAAATATGGAGTACCTTTAACATGTAAGAAATATGGAGATGTACCTAAAAAATTACATGAAAAGAAACCGCTCCCAAAACAAAAACAGGTATGATTATATTATAAATGTATGTTAGTAACAAATCAATTTAACCTTATATTATTGAAGCTCAGTTCAGGTATCTTCTATTTGTAGAACTGTTTTTATTATGTTACCAAATACATTGCTGTTCACTGCTTCTCAAGTTTTCTAAAAATAAGAAGGCTCCCAAAAGTCATGAAAAAACATTAAGTAGATATATTAAGTAGTAGAAACATCAAATTGTTGGTTTAGTAAAAAGAAAATGACATTATAAATGAAGTAATTTTGAAAAATCTAGGCAAAGCCTTTTCCTTTCACCTGTAAAAGAGGTAAATCTCTATGATATATGTGATAAAAATCTGGGAAAATTTCTTATTTTAGAATTCCCAATCAGATACATGTATCAAAATCATAGAGCTGGAAGGGCTGTGTGGTCTGTTCTGCCGTATTTCAGATGAAAAAATTAAGACCTTATCATTTAAATGACATGCCCAAGAATACACAGTTTTAGTTGCAGGAATTTGAGATACTTTTTATGTCAATATCTGCATAATTTGGCATATGGGGTCTGTTATGAATTACATATCATGTTAGATACTATTAGATAAACTTCATACTGCTGTTAAACTTCACAATAGGAATAAATTTTTTGCTTAAAATTGATCACAGAATAATTCAAAAACTGATTACTAGAAATTATCAGTTAGCATCCAGTCAGGAGACAGAATGTACGCAATAATTTGTGTAGGGAAATTTTCATGTAAATAATTATTAACTATTTTTAGGGAATTATTTTTTAAGAGATAAGGAGAACTCTAAAGAATACAGGAATAACAGATAAAGGAAGCCACTACTATTTCAGCACTGAGGCATAAAACCCAAAGGAGGAAAAAAATTTTGGAAGATCCCTTCAACCCCACCCTTACGGCTGAGGTTTAGACTTTATTGGAGAAGAAATGACTGTAGCTCCCGGGGTGATAGATTCACTAAAGTGCCACAGGCAGACTAGAAATGACTACTGCATTGCTGATGGAAGCCATGCTGGTGTTATTTGCTGAAATACTTTGGAAAGTTGCCTAGAATGCTAACAGAATGTACCAGGAAGCCAATTGGGAGGGCTGTTGAACTTGTTGTTGAACTTATTGGGAAGCCTGCTGAGTTACTAGTGAAACTGGCTGGGACTGTGGAGATACTGCTGAGCTCTTTGGGAAGCTGCTAGGATGTTCCCACCAGCAGAACTTGGTGGGAAACTGTCCACTGTAGTGCTGCTGAAATTCACAGAGCAGCTGGAACACGAGCAGAACTCAGAAGCCATCCACAGGAATGCTGCTGAACTCAATGGGAAGCTGGCCTAGGTACTGGCAGAACTCTCCTGGAAGCTGCCTTCAGGGTGAGTGCTGCCATGTGCCTTGCATGTTTCTTCTTAGAAGAAAAGAAAGTACACCATAATCAGGAAGAGAAGCCCTTTCCTTCAATAGTGTTTCTCCAGTGTCATCTACTAACAAAGCTTAACATCATGTTTGGGTCACTGGTGGTTCAGTGGTAGAATTCTCACCTTCCATGCAGAAGACCCAGCCCATGCTCCTGATGTACAGCTACCACCTGTCTGTGGAAGCTTGCATGGTACTGTATGATGTTGAACAGATTTTAACGGCGCTTCCAGACTGAGACAGACTAGAAAGAAAGGCCTGGTGATCTATTTCTGAAAAATCAGCCAGGGAAAACACTATGGATCAGATCCACAACCAATCAAAAGAACAGGGCAGCATTTTGTTCTTTTTGTTCATGGGATTACTATTAGATATATGACTCAACAGTAGGTAACAGCAATAACATTGTGTTAGCAAGCAAAAGATTATACTATCTAGCTCCAATAAATAGGACAATGAAGTATGCATTTGGAACTGAGTGGCAATTAATTGATAATTGGCATACCTGTTATAGCTCTTTTTTTTTTTTTTTGAGTGGGAATTATTTTTAAAGCCTAAGTAGACCATTTCTATCATATATTTTATTACTCTTTAGTCACTACAAGGGATCGAACTCCATGCTTTACTTCATAACGTAGACTGCCATCTCCATAAGGCTCTGACCATCCTCTAGTCTGGCCTCCATTCTTCTGCATAGCTCTCTAAATTTTTCCACAAGGCCCTCTTGTCATACATTATCAACAAAATTCCTGTGTTCTCCATTTCTAAAGAGAAGCCCAATGACTCAGTGGTTAAGCACTTGGCTGCTACCAGGAGGGTCAGTGGTTCAAACCTACAAGTTACTCCATCAGAGAAAAGACCTAGATCTCTGCTCTCATATAGCTTATAGCCTAGGAATGTTGAACCACCATTGCATATCTGGAATCATTCCCATTGGGAATTATGGAGTAGTTCTGCTCTGTCCTGTAGGGTTGCTCTGTCATAATTGACTCGATGACACACAGCAACTAGTAATGATTGTCTTCACCTTTTACAATAAAATTTGACTCATTCCTGAACATACTACCCGGTAGTTCTCTTAAGCGATGACTGTTTTTTTTTTTTTTTTTTAATATCTCTTTATACCACTGAGTCTACAGTGAGGTGAGAGATACTTTCCTTGCTTTTCATTGCCAGACACTCCTTGCTTTTTAAAACCCCCAGCTTTGAGCTTTTGCTACCTGACTATATCACCCAGGGCTCCTTCATGATACACCTGACTTGCTGTCACTATTTCCAATGCTGTCAAAGTTCTTAGTGATTTTAGTTCCAAAGGGATAATCCTTAAAATAATATGTGACCTTTTATTTTCTAGATAATTCTTTTTCAGTGACCTTGTCTTTCTTCTTACCTTAGAACTCTCACTTATAGTCATGCCATTAATTTGTCATTACTAATAACAACTTTTTGTAGTCTTAGTTATAAGCATCCTACTTTCTTAGCTCTATTCTTATGCTTCCAGCTTATTCCTCTAGATCTGTTTCCAAAACTTCTTTGCTCCATTTAGATCCATTCATCCTACTATTTTTTTTTGTCCCTCATCCCCTTTTATTTTTCTTACCTGACTTAAATTCCATGTTCTCTCATTATAATTTCTAAAACCTCACATCTTTTGTCCCTCTCTTTTCTTATTATATGTTGTTGTTGTGTGCCATCGAGTCGGACCAGACTCATGGCAACCCCTCCTTGGGTTTCTGAGGCAGTATCACTACAGAAGTAGATTGCCCAACCTTCCTTCCGAGTAGATTTTTTTTTTCCTTATTACATATCATCTAGCAAAAACCTAAGTTGGTGAAGTCCAGCTCTCCACTTTTGTGCCTGAACATAAGCAGTGGAATGTCGCTGGAGAAGACATACAACAATTCTGGCTGTTGTTGTTGTTAAGTGCCGTCGAGTCATTTCCGACTCATAGTGACCCCATGCACAGCAGAACGAAACACTGCCCGATCCCACACCAGCCCCACAATCCCTGCTA